TGGTTAATGCGAAAATAACAAATCGGGGGATGAATCATACTCGAGCTGACTGCCCTTGGGCACGTGAGGGTATAGTCGGGATATTTCGGACCCATGAGAGGCGTTTCGCTTGTGTTACGATTTCTACCTAAATGGCTTTCTCGAAAAATACAGTTACCCGGCCATCATTCAAACGAAATAATTGCTAACAGAACGCGAGACTTGGGTGGAAAATTAAGCACATATATCTATCGCAAATTTTATATACGGAAAAACCGTCATTTATTTCACTCCATTTTGATTCTGAGATTTATACTTTGCTCAAACATTTCTGATTTGAGAAGTGGATCATTAAAAGCAAGAGTGTTTACGTGTCGCATCAAGTAAACTTTCGCCAAGAAGTTGAAGACAAGTCGAACAAATATTAGCTGGCGCTATATATGTCGCCAAGATCGATAAAAGAAACATATTCGACATTGCAGAGACTTAAAATGAATTTTTCACTCCGGAATAAGATATTATCACTGCGCCACCGACTGTTTAAGTCGGTGGCGCAGTGCATGACCGCAATTGTATCGATGAGCTTTTTTCAGTGACAAACAGGAGCGAGTGCCTATTACGGGCGAGCACCTATTATGCAGGTCGCGTTTACAGCATCATTAACGAATTATACGAGACAACGATAAAGTCGAGATAAACCGAGCTGTTATAAAGAGATTTATGATATTCACGTTACGAACGAGACGCGGCAGCTGAGGAATAATATATAAGACGATTGCTTCTTGTAGTTTGACGCGTCACCGATAAGTTTACGGTCCTGTTGACTGCGCGTTCTTTTCCGACTCACTTCCGCAATAGAGACATAAACGCCCTTACTTCTTTCATGGTGCTCAGGCTGTTATCGCGTCATTTAAGATTGCGATGAATTTCGAGGTTCTTCCTGTAACGACGCCGAAGACGCCATTGCAGCAATACTTGACGATGATATATTGGCCGAGCTCGTCAAGTCAGATATTCCATTTTCTTGTTCGCAGCTCTGCGGGGAAATCTGCGAGCTACTTTTGCTATCGAGCAAAGTGACCGTAATTTTTCATGGCTATTTCGACGGCCTTTTCATCGCTTGATCGCTATACAAGATATTAGACCGACAATCCCAAGCATATTCTCGGTTTTTATGTTGTGTGATATTGCATTTTTTATGTATTCGAAGAAATGAGATGTATTTTTCGACGGACGAGACGATGGCAGAGCAACTGGAGTAGTTATCGTGATCCGAGTTAAAGTCGTACAGTCTCAGGAAAAATATTTGTGCAGATTTAAATTACCTTTGGGAGTCAAATTTGTATAATTATAACTTTACTTTCATGTAAATATCGCATTTTTATCGTTTTTACGTAGAAGAGTAGGGAAAGCGGATATCGCGTGTACTTATTTATGTTTTATATAATTACGAACGGTACGAGAGTAACAATTTCTTTTTTTTTGTCTCAAGAATCCGATGAAAGGCATTCATCCAAATCTTGTTTTCAAGAAGGTACTCTTGAGAGCTGCTTAACGGAACGTAACAAAGGACAAATGTATCGCTTAGGGGAGCGAGTGTACGCTTTAATATTTTTAAAGTACATTGAATCCTTTGGTAAAGGAATCTTTTTACTAACGAAGCGGCATCGTGGAACGATAGGTTGAGAAGCGGAATAAGACGGAGAAAGTCTCGACGAAGATCGGCAAAAATTTGAAGAAAAAAAATAAGGCGAAGGGACTAATGGAAGTTGAGGCTATTGAATTGAAGAACAGAAACAAAGGCAGATTTATATATGGCATAAATTAATTGGATTAATTTACAGTCTAATGATGTATTGGCTGATATAAATAATATATAAACTCATTGCACGCAATAATCAGTTTCTCTGTCTCTTATTTGGTTTATTTATTTTATTTTGTCTCATTGATTGCTTTGAGACAGAAGTCTTAATTTTTTATGTAAGAATTCCAAAATATTTTATTAGGATTTGTTAATACTGTGGAATAAATAACGTTGAATATAACGATACGCGAATATAAGACACAGCTCGACAGTTCCGAATGCTTAGAGGTAGCGTTACAGCGATAATATTTATATTTATGTATTTCACGCGTAGTCATGTTCGCTTTGTGTGATTCGGCTCCGAATTCCAACGGTTTTGTCAGGACAAGTCAGTTGTCCTCGAGCGATGAAGCGATACATTTCGACGCGTGCTTTCGCAAAGGAACGAGCGAGAACTTCGTAATTCCGATCCTGTATTCTTTATCATTTAAATAAATTATATTACACTACAATACATATATATACGATAAATACTCGTTACGATTATAAAAATATTTTGATTAGCGACTCAGCTACATTAAGCGTGCAAACAGCGTATAAAATATATAATGCTATGAACAGAATTATTCATTTACTTAATGACCATCTGACAAGTTGATAAATAACGTAGGAAGATTAATCAACCATCTGCCACCAATCTTCATTTAGAATAATTATAAATGCAAGAAGAGTTAATGTTGCCATCATTCTGAAAATTCAATTCATACTTCATCACTTCCTACATATATAACGCCAAGAGAAGCTTAATAGCGTTATATACAGGATCTTTCAAAATAGCCAGAGCAATACGTGAATACGCAATGGGACCACTGCATTCAATGAGCGCTATTCCTCATCGTTTAATGCCCTTTTTTTCGTGTCGTATAACGTGGAAGTACAATTTCGGACTCCGCGGGATCAACGGAGTCGCTAGAAGAAGAATAGCCAATAATACTTTTTCATTAAGCCGCGAGCTAGGATTACCGCGTCTATTGAGACCGGGCACCGAAGCAATCAAATTATATTCCCAGCGCAATCAGCTTTCGAAAAAAAGAGGAAGAGAGAAAGGAAGAAACATCAATATATAGAAGCGAGAGACGAAAAGGCACAGATACAAACAAGTAAAGTGGATACGATATGCGACAGTTAAATCCGTCAAACTCGAAATATCATCGTGGCCCTTGAATGGCCGAAATTCTGTATTTTGGATACTGTAGATTTTCACTGTACCTTTTATTTTTCAATATTTTTCTTGTTAGTTCAATATTAATTTATTTTTATTTTTGTTAATTTCTTCATTTATAGTATCGTAATAAATCAGAATCTAGAATACATCTGTCGGTTTGGTTCTTTCATCGATCAATTTCCTTACACGTTTCGTTTCTGATCTGACTTCTATCCGTTTGTATATAGCAGAACGAATTTACAATTAAAGTTTACCACATGGTCGCAAATAAATTTTACTTCTTCCAGTTTTCACTCCCGCGCCATTCTATCCACAGTCAATTCGTTCCGCCGACCGCGTAGTAATTCTCCGGGGAGCTGGAAGATTGAAACTGTAATTATTTTTCTTTCGCGATACACTCTTGAATTTTTCTCCGTTTAAACTATCCGGCAAAAAGACGTAGTGTCGGTTTATCTCTACTTGCCATTGCTTTTTCTTATTAGCGCGTAACGAAAGATACATGGACGGATATATAAAAGCCATCAGAAGGAAAATAACGAAAAACATATACACATGTAATACGTGCCAGTAGCAACACGTGTGTAATGATCAAGATGAATAGCGCACAAGTCTGGGAGATTAATAGCTTAAATTGTAAATTTATTTTCAGGACAGAAACTCTAACCGACGCGCGTTATGCGCATCGCGGTTGTTTCGTATAAATGTTTGATCGAGAGAGCAACTTTTCTCTCGAAAGGTACAGCAGATGTTCCGAGACAAATGGCTTTGAACAAAATTTCTCTCTCTCTTTCATAGCGACAATTAACAACCCATCATTTCGAAACCAGGTATTACACATACAGAAGTGTAACACTACACGCGAGAATTCGGCGCAATAATTATAGATAAAAGATGAATTGAACTTTTGAAATTGATAATAAATAAGCAGTGATAATAAATGAATTTAACAGTGTTATGTATTCGTATAATCATTAATTTAAAAAAGGTAATAAAAAAATCTATTAATTGCTTGAATATTATAGATCTTCGATGCATTAATTAAGTGTCGCTTTTAAGAGCGATGAAAATTCATTCGCCGTCGCGTCGTTGCCGTCGTCGTCACTGTCGTTGTTCGCCGCGCGGTGGATTGTCGTAAAATCGCATCATCGAACCAGTAAGCGCGATGTACCAAGTAATTCAGTTACCACGCAGTTGTTCGTCGTGGTACGCGCGCTCTGCCTCGTTCGCCACCCCCTTTTGCGTTGCGCCCTGTGCTACTCCCTTTCCGCTTGGTTCTCTTTGGCGCACTCCTAGCGACGCGTGTACTTGCCCATTATAGCTAAAAGCGTAGCACACTCGATTATCACATCGTCGTGGGTGGCTTAAAACTGGGAACGTTACGGACCTTTGACAGCGTTAAGAGCCCGTCGGTTTTAAGCGCGACTAAAATATAATACTACCAGCGAAACGTCCGTGCCGAAAAATCAAAATGCGTCCGTGTCATTTAGAATCGAAATAATCATCGGGAAGCGAAGAAAATGGGAAGAGTGCAACCGGAAGGATTATTGATATTGGTTCAAGCTTTCACAGTCGGTAGGAAAAAGAGAAGAGGGAGAAACTCGAATGCATGCGGCAGATTGAGTTACGAAATTTGCGAACAAAACGAAAAAGAGGCAGGATATGTGAGTAAATATTGCACGGATTTTTGCGCGAACATTTTTTCAGCTCCCCTGGGCGGAAATTAAAAAGTTCCAACGCGAAGAGTGAATAAAGCGAACATTCGGGAATGAACTAAGGTTCACGAGAGCATGAATATAACGCTACGACTGGGAATATTTTAGTAGCTTTTGATTAGTATTGATTATATGACATGAAGTTTCTGTTTATTTTATTAATAAATGTTATATATTACAATTATTATTTTAAATTATATTTATTTCGTAATAAATAGTAATTTTTAAGAAAAATATCTATACAGATATACATGTATTTATTATATTGTTTTTTGCATCATTCACTAAAATTCTATTCTTAAAAAAAGGTCGGAATCGAAATCACATTCGTTCGTTAAATAAGTTCAAAAAAAGAAGACTTGCCCTTTCGAAACATTTCTCACACCCTCGATTCATTAGTGAAAAAGCCAGTCTACCCTGATTCGACGAAAAGACAACCCTCCGCTGGGGATGTAGATCTGTATAACGATGTCGCATACTTCAAGATCCCCACAACAAAGTTTCTATTTGCTTAAATCGCGAAACCTTATGTCGGCCTGTCTTGTAATCACAATAATGTATCTAATACAGAAGGTTAAATCATGCTAAGTGAAAAAGAACAAAGAAAATAATCGCTTATAAAGCATTAAAATTCTTTGATCTTTCTGTTTACTATTCTCGTCTTTATTATATTAATTAAATTTTTTATAAGAGTTGAAATAACTTTATACTCGTGAATACTTTCCATCGCACGTTTAATTATAATTTTGTTAACAATCGTGAAAGAAATTATAAATACGAGATAAAATTACATCGTTATATGCTTCAATGAAAGAATATTATCTCTCTCTTTGCGCGAATTATTCAATGGAATACTCACTCAATAAAACACAGTGCTACCATGAACAGATCGATGCAAATGTATTTTAAGATTTTTCATCTTGCACACGTTTTAGCAGACTCTTTTTTTACGTCGACTACTTCACTATAAACCACCAGAGTTGTTATATCGGGGTGTGACGAGATAGCTTTTAGAAACTTCAAAGGATTTGAGCCGCCCATTTGCCGTCTTCTGCGCCGTGATAAACGTACACGATCACCGTCGAAACCGTCGAACCACCGGGTGTCTGATCGCGTCCGGATGAAATTGTCTGTAGATGGAATGTCTTAGTCAACTATCGGCCACTCGTGAACTTCACAAAGGCTGCCATCATGTCTGTCCGCAGACGGCAGATAGCTGTGTGATCGGTGTTCCCGCCGTAGTTTCCACTGTAATCGTGCTAACGAGCTAGAGCCGCCTTTCTTCCTCCGTTTCCTATGAAATAAAAAGATCTTGAGGAAGCTCGTTTGAAGGCATGCTAGCACAGTGATCGCGAGTACGCGGCTCTGGGCCGATGCCCCTGTGATTCCGTTAATGGGACCTGCGTGTTCTCAGAACAAAGCTGATCATTCGCCGCCAACAACTGTTTTAAACGGTTAAATATAATAATAGAGATAGCGACTCTCTCTCCTAAAGAAATTAAACGAACGAATGAGTATATATATATATATATAAAATTAAGACTTTAGTTAATATGAAATACATATTTAAATTTTGTAACAGACGAGAGAGAGAGAGCTAGATGCGGATGGTAGTCGCGATGGTAGTTTCAAGGAAAAATGAATTTTCATTGAAACTTGATTAGTTATGCACAAGGCACAAATTTTCCTTAATACTACCGAGTAATTTTATAAATCTTTTCGAGATTGTATTTTTAATAAACCCCTCTGTCGATTCCCGATTCAGCGACTTTGCCTCGATTTCGCCTATGCTTCTTTAGGAGGGATAGAGGGGTTTATTAAAAATAAAATGTCTCGAATTGAGATTTATTAAATTACTTTATATCGCGCGTCCCGAGGAAAATTTGTGCCTTGTGTACAACTAATCAGTTTCAAGGAAAATTAATTTTCATTGAAACTGACTCACTATCCACGTCTGGACCACTCATCTTTCTCGCGCGTTAAAATATAAATATAAATATAAATATATATGTATACATATAACTACAAATAAATGAATACATAGATATATAAGAAGTTTGATACATAAAGATATCAGAAAATTTGGCACAGTTCAAGTATCGCAATGTAATGCACACGTATATATTGCACGGATACTTGTGGAATAATCTTGAAAAATCGAACTGGCCACGGGTCTTGTTTGGCGCTTTTAGACATGGACCTGACCGTCTAGAATCTAGATTATAAATATTGATCCTGACCGTCCTTCAGTCTTGAGTGCACTCGAGAACTCCCTCTTGTCCGGCATTTCTATACCGAGGTTGAGTCGAGGGGGATTCTTCATGGCGAAATTGAAATCGGAGAGGTTCCTCGTATACATTCCACTAGAAGAAAAATCAGAGTCGTACGAGCAAATTAAAAACTTGAGCTATCTAGTTTCAGCGAATCATGTCTCCACATTACATCAATAGAGAGATTCAACAAGAATTGCGATCAATACAACATCACACAAATACACAGTAAAAGTAGAAGATTAATTGTTGAATCAAAATGAATAGTATTAGAGATAATGTTTTATAAAATATAAAGATAACTCAAAATAATATATATTTTATTTTATGTAATACGATTTTTCTTGGAATCGTACGATACATTTAACAGATTTAAGTATTGCAGTGAAATGTAAAGTCTTTTTGGTTGGAAAACATTCAATACGAAAAGAAAGTACAAACGATGAAGGAAGGTTGCCGTGGAAGTTGCTAATTCCAACAAGGTCGAAGGAGCCAGGCTTAGCCGAAGACCGCCGTCGGGTTTTAGGCTTTCCGTCCCCCTGGCACGTCTTCGTAACCTCTAAACCGGTTTAACCGAGCTCTCGTTAACTTCGTTACCGCTAATGCCTGTTGCAATGTGGCTAAGTGGCTATTGCTGCTTTGGGCGTTCTGGCCCTGAGGCCTGCGATCCTTTCCCAATTACTTTACTACCGTCAAAGTCGCGATTCCATTAATCAATTAACACGAGTTACAAATTTATCAGCAAGACTGGTACCTGAAATAATTAAATATATAACTTGCAAATGACTTTTCACTGTTTTCGAAAATCTTATTAAATAATTTTTAATTCGAATTTATAATTACAATTATTTTATTAAATATTCTTCCTTATAATTCGTAAATTTTACGCGATAGAATTGTTTAAAAATTTTTCAATATTAATTACACTAATTACACTGCAATGTCATTTATCTCAATTATTTATTGCTAGGTAATCCGCGTGCTTGTCAACATCACAGTAACATAAAGCGGAGTTTAAAGGGTCGCTCTTAGAAATCGTTTTCCGATACAGCGTATACATAGTTATACACGTTCTTCCGTGTGCGTGTACTCGAGCATAGCGCGTTCATCGATAAGTCTTACAGGCCGTGAGCGACCAAAGGAATGTCCAGTTACGTGTACTTGTAATCGTTAAAGCAGACGGAGACAGCTGAGCTCGGTGGCTTTGAGGGTATCGCGCAAATTACAGATCCAAGGACGAGCGTCCTAGAAATGGCGCTTTGCGTAAAGCCGAAGTCTGATTAAGTGAGGCGTTTTAGTATGCCATGAGTGCATCGCTTCTCGAAAGCGCACTCAAGACCTGAGGAACCGAGAACGTTGAATCGCGGGAATACCGGTGGGAAATCCTGAAGATGGTACTTCGATTTTCTCTTCATTTGATTCCATCTTTATCGTCCCGTTATGTGAGCAGATGCATTATAATTAAGAGTAAATTCACCGTCGCACGCTTTAATCTCTGCATTTTATTACTTTACGTTTCGCGCATATTGAATTTCAAATATTACGCAACTAGGATTATTCACTATGAGAGACTGTCGCAAAGATTATTAACTTGAGTTGATGTTATATTCATATAGTATCTGCCATTTATATGATAAAAGTTTTTATCTTTTATATGCGACACAGAAATGTTTTCATATAGATTCATCTGTCTTTTGAGTGAACGTGGAAATTTCGAGATCTATTGTCTACTATTATATATTTATCTAGTAAAGTTGACTTATCTGCGCACAGATATCAAATAATTAATAAATGAGTTATATATAACAAAAATTAAAATATTTATATCTTTTTATCTCTGAAAGTAATTGATTATTTTAATTATTAATGAGAATTTACGGTTAAAATAACATCGAACATATTATTTGTTTAATTTTCAATTACGTATATAATAAAAATATATCGTTATGTATCTAATTGAAAATTATTTAAATAATGTCATGTTTGATGTTATTTTAAATACAAAAATCTCAATCCCCTTCCGTCCTTCCTCATTAAAATTGCTTCCTAAAAATAAAATAAATGTACAAATATTAGTTTTTATTATAAAATAATTTACATATTTGCGATTTTTATTATTATGGGAGAAATCTACCGTTAAAATTTCAAAACTCTTTGATAATAATTTATCTCTCTTGCTCTCTCTTCGCTCTTGCTTTCGTCAACGTGATTTATGGGACATTTCGGAAGGATAAGTAGATCCACGTTTCTGTATAACTAATGATCACCCATCTATTGTCACATATAATCGGCATTATATTATTGACATGACACATTTGTGCATATAGAAAATCTATAATTTTATTATACATTTTGTTTACAAATGTTATTTTACAGTAATGTAAAATCATATGACATTATCACACGAGACTTTTGAATTTAGTATGTATCGTATGTATATACTTAGTATTGTTAATTTAGTTGTCTGTTTGGATCTTTGTGTTTCGAGCTAGCAAAAAAAAGTGCCTGGGAAATACAGATATTGCGCGCGGTAATGTTATATACATACTCGTCTTCTAGGTGAGAAACTTTTGATTTACGATGCACTGCGCCCGACCAATATACCGGAGTCGCGTTGCTGCAGCGGCACAGTAGAAAAGTTTTCCGGAGACCAAGAACGCGCTCTATTAGTACCATTCGTTATTTTATTTCCTCTCCGATTCCGTGTGTGCGCGAGCGGCTGTATAAGAAAAGGTTGCGAGAGGCGGAGGAAGCTCCGCAGCTTCCGCGCCAGAAGGAGGCGGAGTATCCTCTGGAAGGATATCCGCCGGCGCGGCGGTTCCAAGAGACTCGGATAGTTTTTCGTCTCGGAAAACTGGTTATTGATACTGCAGTGCGCGAACTTCCCCGGAACTTTCCTGCCCCACCCCGTCCGGGAATGCTCGCCGTGCTCGAGTAGAAGCACGGCGATAAAAACATATTTGCCCGAGCGCTTCGATGTTAACAACCTCCGCCGCTGTTCTTCCTCGTAACGCGTTTGTCATTACTTGCCGGCGTATGTCATTACGCGCCACGTTCAAAAACTTGCTCGCTTCGACATGTTACGTACGAATCGGAGACATCGCGATTCATCAAATGCTCTCGTAATTGCTCGTACGCGCCAGTACTTTACGAAGAATCTTGGCCAGTCGCCAATCATCGTTTCTCTCACTAGGCAGAGACGTCGGTATATATTTATAATTCAGTTAGTTAATCGCTGCTGCAGCACATGTGTATTTTAAGACACGAGTTTTGCTTTCTCCCCAAAGTTCTTTACAGCAGCGATATTTATAAGCTGCTTCTTTTACGAAGAACACTTAATTTTAAATTCTATATTATAAAAATTATGTAATTAAGCGATTGAGATGTCATGCGACTTGTTATTCAATTAATCTTAATTATCTCGTGTTTCTGTTGCAGTATCTAAGTGCTAACAGAATGGATACGTCAAGAGTTAGAAGAATGGTCGGTCTGCTTTGGTTCGTCTTCTTTCTCGCTGCGGTCTTGGCCGAGGGAACCCTGGAGAAGCTACACGAAGGTGAGTACTCACTTAAATATTTTGATTTCCAGCAACACTTGTTCTCGATAGAAGGGTAAAAATTAACCCCCTTCCCCCGATAACGAGGCTGAATGCGAATGCGAAGGCGAAAGAGAACAACGCACAGACAGATGGCTATGAATACCCCTTAAAGTAGCTTTTCACTCTGCAACCAGCTCATTCTCCGCGCTTCATTCTCCGCTGCTGTTCTCTTGGTTTCACGTCTCCGTGTTTTTCTCTCTTCGCCCCTTTTCCGTTTGTTCTCCGTCTCTCCTCGATACTCCACAGTCCCGTTCATCTTTCCTCGTTTTCGTCTCTCTGCCGAGACGGCATCGTCCTCTATCCGCCTCACTCCGGCACGACTGCCCGTTCTCGGACCAGTAGTGAGATAGACGTTTATCTCTCGTTTCTACAAACTGTGCTCGCTCGTGTTGCGAGGCAGGAAATTCAGGCGATCGATAGGATACCGCATCAGAATCACTCACAGACGAGCCCTCATTTCTCTTGCATTCTTGCCGCTGACTGTAATGTTGCAGTAAGATGATTGCCGTTTCTCACATGTTGCGTTATGTATTTTCCTATGATTTTTTTCACTAATGCTATTTGTAAGAATGTCATACGTTTTTACGTATTTCAGTTTCTTAGCTTTATAGTTTGTTATATAGTTCTAAACAATATACATATATTGCATATTCAAATTATCTATATATTTTTATTTAATCGAAACTTTCATCTATTGATAGTATCATCTTAATTTATTTTACGAGAATTTTTAATATTTTGTTTAAAATTCCGTGTTACAATATTTAATTTTTTTTCACTTTTGAAGCTGCATTATAAACGTTAATAAATACCCTATCATTTATCAAGAAGCTTAGTATGCTCTGTCGGGAAATATATAATTGCGAAAAACCAGTCACGCCCCTTCAACCGGTTATTACGCTAACGAGCCTTCAAAGGTGGAATATTCAATACATTAAATTGAAATTTATCATCAGCACTACCGTGCTGTCAGTACCGTCGCATTAAACGACCGTAGTGATATTAACGACGTTTTTCATTATATTCGCGATATTACCCAATTGAAGGGACAGTAATCTTTCGATGAGCGTGGCAAAGGATATATGTATATATAATATATATATATATATATCTGTTCTTGATAATCTTCTTATTTAATCGTCGATACGGAGTCTCACGTGTCACCGCGTTGTTCTCTCTTTCGCCTTCGTGTTCGCATTCAGTCTCGTTATTGCGATTTCGCGTCATCGCCGCGAGCGATATGCGAGGAGAGTAGTAACGTTGACGATCGCGGGATACCGCGAGAGCATCGTATGATTTAGCCGTAAATTCGATCTGCATAACAAGGCAGGGGATTTCTCATGAATAAAGTCATTGGTATTTCGATATTAATCACGCCTTGCCACATCACGAGCGAACGAACGAAGTCAGTCATGTCCGCCCTCATTTTTCATTCTCTTGGCGCGCTTTCGGATGTCAATCATTGGCGGTTAAACGAGCTATCGGAAATTTCAATTTTTTTTTCGCTCGAGCGGCGCGTCACGATTTCCTCGATATTTAATTGCATCTATTATGCTCGCGCGAAATCTCGCGTGCGACATAATAATGATTCATATCGCGCTTAATGCAACTATATTTGCCTCTTTTTTTCATTTTTTTTTCTCTTTTATGCGCTGTGTGTATTTACAGCAATAACATTTCGTTCGCGCTCTTTCCGATCTCTTTTCAATTTGTGTTAGAACTACGTAAATATTAGATGAGAAGTAGTTTTCGATACATCAATATTATTGGACACGAATATCAATTTCTCATTTCTGTCTAAGGAATAACATGCTAAAGTAATCATTTGCATAGCTTTTAAGGAGTTTATCTATTATACTGCAACGATGATAATTAGGAGCTTTTGCTGAAATTGATCGTGGAGATAAAATTGCGGATTCTCGCGTTATAAGTGACCGACTGATGCTCAAGCTAAAGCGGTTTTGTAGAGTTTTCTAGAGAGTTATCTATCGCGGTCGTAGTAGGTAGCTTAGATAGAGTATCTACGCTTTCCGGCCGATAGATCCTCCTTCTCCTCTTTTTGTTGTTTCCTCTTTAGTTCTCTGCTCACCAGCATACTGGGTTATCTTTTTTTACTTTTCTCTCTCTCTCTCTCTTTATTTTCTGTGAGATTCAGTAAGCCACATTGTGACTTCCGACTGAATAAGCATCACCTTACTTCCGTTTCCGAGGATGTGGCCTTTG